AACATTACTTCCACCGATATGCTTTGCAAAACGGGGAGAAGTTAGCCGATTAGTTAGTTTATACAATGAAACTTCCCTAAAACTCTCTAAATGCACACTCTAATTCTGGTCCAAATACATACGCGACCTCAACAAATGCATTTTTCTTATTACTCTTTAAATGTATGTTGTTAAAATAGGATGCATTTAGAAATGTCTGACTGTAGTCATATAAACGAGTCTGCATAAAGGAACCCATCATAATCAGTTGTAATTCTGGTAACATTAGATCTGGCCAAATGATCAACAACTTTGACTGGAATTATAAATGATGACCATGTAGATCAATCGATAAGTACGTACGTATGTAATCTTGCTGTATTTTAGTACACCCTCCACTTTGTAATTTTCGAAACAGACTTTGACCTCATATTTCGTGATTTTAGAATTATTGAAGAAATTGCAAATGACCGAATCGATAAGCTATTCTCATGAATATTGTAGATAACCAAATCGATAAGCTGAATTAATAACGGATAAGCCACCAACTTTGGCTAATATCAGAAACTTGTCACGGCAATGTTTTTACTGTCCTATGATTATGATAATAGCTGTAAATAATCAATAAATCAATCATTCAGCCAAACATATTAAAAAATTACATATCAACGGATTTGTGGAATTTTTGATAAATATGAGCTGTAAATTTGGTCAAATTTGCAGATCATTTGGCCAACTTTGAAGTCAAACTAGGCCAAATGATCTGCAAATTTGGCCAGAACTACCGTAACGCACTGACCAAAGTATCCCTTTTCAATAACCCCTTGACCTCTATTAATCAATATAGGTTTTTTTAAAAAATTTTAGACTGCTTATTGTAAGTGCAGAATATGTATATGCATGAAATTTTTTTTTCTTGTGACACTGGCCCGCTGCTGTATAATATACCCGTGTCTTTTGTAAGTTTATTGTTGGGTATTTTGTATTAGACACCGGGTCTTTTGGTCAGTGCACACTGTAATTAAATATTTGAAATATTTGATTTAATTTATAAAATTATAATTAAAATTCTAGTCACAATAACTATTTTTTTTAAAAAAAAATTTATTAAAACAGTTTTTCTTATTTTTAAAAATAGAAGCACTCTAGCTAATATATATATACAGTATATATTTGGGCTGCCGTCAATAGAAATCAAGCAAATCTACATTTTAAAAAAAATTCAATACCTTAACTTTCGCAGCTCATTTCTCGATGAATTTCAAAGCTATCTTGATTATTTAATATTCAGAAAAAAGCTTACTATCTAATCTTTCTTTTGAATATTAAAGCATCAAGATAGCTTTAAAATTGATCGAGATATGAGCTATGAAAGTTAAGGCATTAAGTTTTTTTTTAAATGTATATTTGCTTGATTTCTATTGACGGCAGCCCATATAACAAACTATTAGATTTATATAACGGAAACGGGCTTGGTAGATTAATTTTTTATCAGATTTGACAAGTTATCAGCTTTGACAGGATCAGTTTTGAGAGGGTTAACTGTAGTTTGTTATGTTTTCAAATCCGATAACCTCTTAAAACTGGTACAAAACCTTTCCACCGTGCATACCGATTATGAGAAGGTCGACTGTATATTAGTGTATTTAACGGATTTTTAATATAATGACCTGTGATTTGCATCTGGGGCAAGATCGGTAGCCCAAAATCAAATTGTTATCTGGGCTAGCCCAATTGACAATTGGGCCGATTTGCATCTGGGGCACAACATATACATGTGATTTTCAAAAAAAATTTATATACATCATAACAATAATACGTAATATCGTTTTATCAATACGTAAAACTTGAATTCAATTCCATTTATAAACATTCAAATGCCTAATTGAATAAAAATAATTAATATGATTAAATCTGATAATATATCAGATATAGTCACTTTTTTATTTATTTAACGATCTTAATAATATAAGAGTGCTAGAGTGTTATACACAAATCATCATAGACAGATGGATGCGGTAATACCGTTACCAGAAGCGTAAATGACCAATAACCTATTCGTCAAGAACTATTCGGCCGCCATCGCGGCCGAATACATCAAACAAATCTTTGACGAATAATAACGTTATTTGGCAAAGATTTATAATGAATAATGTTTCAGTAATTCGCCGTATACTCTACGCGTCTAATACGTAATAAATAAAAAGTCTTTTTTTGATTTCAATTCTATATATAGTAACACTATTCAAAATTAGCGCTAGTATTTATTTAACCCGGCTTTTAATTGTTTCACAAAAAAATTTATACATGTTATGTTAAATTAGTTTTGCTAAAATTTATAATAATAGTAGACAATCTTTTTTGTTCAAATATATATAAAAAGATAGCCGACAAATATTGAAGTTCCAATATAAAGGGTATATATATATATATATATATATATATATAATATTAAAGAGAATCTTAATGGTGCTTTAGCTCTGCTTGATAGAGTCAATGGAATAACACAGAAAACAATATTTCATTCATTAAAGAATAAAATTAATGATGATTTAACACCTACTGAAGGTGAAATTTACCAGAAATGCTATTTCTAAACAGTAAATAATTGGTGCTTGTAGTACTAAGTAAAAACGTTCAGCATCCTAAAAAACTCTAGTCTCTAATTTAGCCTTAGTTCTAAGAGCTAATTTTAACCCTTAAAAATAATATATAGTTTTTCTAAAATACAATATATATATATATAGTATATTTCTTATAATAAAAAACATACCAGTAAATTTTATCCTATTTTTGAATAGCGAGAAACTACAGCACTAACTACAGTCGCATTCTTCTATAGTCACACCATCAGAAACTTTACTAAAAAATGTTCTTATGAGAGAATGTGATTATATAGATCAAAAATAAATGTGCTTATCGTTATAAAAAATTTTCATATAATGTATTTATTAGGAAGTGCTTACCGCAAATAGTATTCGGATCTCTAGGCCTTACTTATTACTGTAATGAATACTGTAATTAATTGACTGAACTGAATTGATGTACTTTAACGAGGGAATACTATTTACCGGTATACGGGAGTGTACATCGCTCTAGGGACAGCTATAACCAAATTAATTATGTACAATGATTAGACCTCAATAAACGGAAATTTTAGTTATTACTAATTACACAAACTACACAAATTACATCTGGGGATTAAAAATTCATAAGCACTAGCAGATAATTGAACGTACTTGTTTTAAAAAGATTTTAGAATCAAACTTTTATAGAAAATAATCAAACACAGTAAAAATAATAAAACAATAGAAGTCGTTTTTTTACTAACCATAATCCAGATGAGATGATTCTAATTATATTGACAGCTGACTTTGATCGGTGAGAAATATCACCAAAGATCTTTGCACAAAACAAAAGATCTTTATACCAGGAAAATCGATTTCCTGAAGACCATATATTAATATAAATTTTATTATTTTTGAATGCTTCTAAATTGGCAAGTTAAACCATTCAACGTATTACTAATTTATATAATAATAGACTAGTGTAAGGTAGTATGTAGTGTAGCAATAGTATGGGACATATAGTACTTAGTTTGTTAAATATTTCTTTTTTGTTACTTTTAAGGTTTAGAGCGTGTTGTAAAGAAATATAATCTGTTTTTTGTGTTGATCCTAATCTCACGTTGATCCCCCACAAAAACCAAAACGAAGTAATTCAATTCAAAAACCGATGACCGATGTGCATTCGTTAACAAATCAGGCACACTAAAAGGCGTTTGAAATAGGGGCAGGAATGGGAAGCAGGATTCTATAGTTATACAAATTTGACCATTTATGCAATAATTACGCGTTTTATGGAAAGGGATTGATTAAGGAAAAATAATTTTATAAATACCCTTAGCATTAGTTAGATGTTTCATTTTGGAATTAAGAACTGGTTTTTCATGTTCAATTTCATAATTGTAAACCTAAGTTCAATGTAAGTTTATGGTAACTTCTAAATTTATGAAAATAATAATGTAATAAAAATAAATTTGTTAATTCATTATTTCATCATTAGTAGTAATTCCATTTGAAGGCATTTTCGTTTGCCGTGTGCTTGTCCAAATTTGAATATCTTGCAGCTAAGGTACGCCAGAGCTTAAATAAGACTTGCAGGCGGCTCGGTCGCTATTTTTAACAATTTCACTATCAATATTACTATTGTTAATTTATTTATTTCGCATGATTTTGTCAAGAAAAGGTTGAAATTAAGCATTAATTTAAACGTTTAGAGCTAACCATTCAAGGTAAAAAAAATACTTTAAAAATAATTTAAATAAATCAGACATTAATCTTTCTTCGGCTATAATTTTAGTATCCTCAGTTAATTGATCAATATACCGACTTTTGCTGGTGTTGTGAGGTAAATAATTACTATATATATATATATATATATATATACCGATACATTGTATACTGTATATACAAGAATTTGTTTTATCTAACTTTCGCTCGCGGTGACGTTATTGACGTTATTAATTATTTAAAGTTAATTTTATACGTAGAATACGAGCAATAATTTAATGGTCAATTTTATAGAATATGAGAATATGAGCAATAACTTTACATATATTTCAACGCGTCTTTCTTAGACTATCGTATTAATATCATCTGGATTTTTTTTTTTGTTTCTCTTTAAGAATTGTTGCGTATTTCTTGCGTCCTTTCGATATCGAAAAAAAATGGACACAAAACATTTCTTTGTGTATTTATGTGCTATATTTTCTGCATTTGGTAATAATAGTTTTAATACGTATCATATATAAGTTGTCTTTTACATTTTAAAAAAATATTATTTATTCATGAATTTGTATCCAATTCTCACATAGGTGGATTCCTGTTCGGATATGACATTGGTGCGTAAAAAAAATTTTTTGAAATAATATGTTGATAACTAAAATGTGATCAAATTCTTATTCTTGTATCTTTTCTGATAATCACTATTTAAAAGGTGTCATATCTGGTGTACTTACCATGAATCATTTTCGTGAACGATTTCCTTCTACTCCAGCAGTAGAAGGTACAATTGTATCTTCATTCTTGGCGGGTTGTTTTATTGGTACGTTTATTCACTGTTTTTCATTTAACTTTTATAGAATGCAATATATATATATATTTTTTTACAATTATCGTTAACTAGGTGCTCTCGCATCGGGATATTTTGCTGATCGTTTTGGAAGAAGATTTTCTATTTTGGGTGGTTCTTTAATATTTGCAATTGGTAGTGTTTTACAAGCCACCTCTGGCACGTTTGCTCAATTATATATAGGTAGAATTGTTTCTGGTATATCAATTGGGTATGTCAATATTGATATTTATCAGTATAATGATTCTTTTTTTTTTTCGCGTTTTGCTTGATGTAAAGCTCACTTCCATATTTTCTAGCATTCTATCAATGATGGTACCTCTGGTATGTCTATAATGAATTGATTGGTATTTATAAAAAAAGGATATCGTTAACGCGTTTCTTTGTATTTGTTCACGTATCATAGTACCAATCTGAAATTAGTCCCAAGGAAATTCGTGGGCGCTTGGTTTCTCTTCAGCAATTTTCAATTACTATAGGGTAATTTATATTTATTACCTTTCAAAAATATAACTGATAAATTTGATAACATTGAAACTATTTCCGCACGTGACCTTTTAGAATTGCAGTTTCATTCTGGATCGATTATGCATCCGCGAAAATCGATTCTCCAGCCCAATGGCAAATTCCTTTAGGGATTCAATGTGCTCCTGCTTTATTGCTTGGTAAAAGATTATCTATTATTTACATGCAGTTCATAGATGAATGCTCTTAAATTTAACTTTTTTAACATTTCACAAATCAAGCAATTGGAACAACAATCCTACCATTCTCTCCTCGGTGGTTATTAGATCACGATCGGGATGATGAAGCGGTTATAGTACTAGCCAAACTTCGTGCTAACGGTGACAAAAATGATCCTATTGTTATTGAAGAATATAACGAGATTAAGGAGAATGTTAGATTTGAACGCGAAATCGCTGCAAAGAGTTATTTTGAATTAATAAAAAAAGGTCCAGAAAATATTCGCAAAAGAATCATACTTGGAGTTGCTATTCAAGCATTCCAACAACTAACCGGAATTAATGCTATCATGGTAAAATGTTTGTTCATGAGATTTGGCTCGATTAAATTTTAATGTTAGGTATGCCTAACCGGTATTTTCTTTTTTAGTATTATGCACCACAAATATTTACTAGTGCTGGTTTAGGCGATTCTTCATCACTCCTTGCCACTGGTATAAATGGTGTGTGTAACTTATCCATATAATAAAGCATTAATAACTTATATAATGAATTAACAAATATTAAATAAAAAAAAACACTCAATTGTTCAAGGTATTGTAAATATGGCTGCTACAATTCCTGCTATACTCTGGATTGATACATGGGGTCGTAAACCTACTCTGTAAGATATTTATTAAAATGCTTATTTCATTTACACTTCCAACACTTAATTTTTTTTTTTTTGTTGAAAAAAAAAAAACAATAGCACTTCTGGCGGAATATTGATGGGAACTTTCATGTTAATCATCGGGATAATACTGGCTGTACATGGATCAGAATATTATGACTCAGCTATAGGAAAACATTCTTTGCATTTAGATTCACGTGTTAGTTCTTATTCAGTTATAGTATTCATTTATTTATTCGTAGCATCTTTTGCTTATTCTTGGGGACCGGTTTGTACATTTAAAATTATCATTATTATTATTTATTGAGTCTGGGCTAATTATTATTAATTCACTGATTTTTTTTTTTTTTTTAGGGCGGTTGGATTTATCCAGCGGAAATTTTTCCTTTACGGTAAGTGATCAAATAACTTTGACGCGTTACTATCGCTGTAAGACTATCCATTTTTTACTCTTCATCCTTATTTAATTATAGTATTCGAGGAAAAGCACTATCAATAACAACTGCTTCCAATTGGCTTTTCAATTTTATTATTGGACAAGTTGTTCCTATACTATTGGATAGGTGCCTATTTTATTTTTGTTGTTTTAAAAAATAATTAATCAAATCTAACATGATATCTCTTCCTATATATTATTGAATGGCTAATAGCATCACATGGGGGTTAAGTTCTTTTATAGAATATTGCAGTTTATTTTAGCAACCTTACATGTTATCTGATCTTCTTTCACATTTTTACTTATCATTACAAATAGAACCTACATAATCTTTGGTGTACTCGGTCTAATAATGGGTGTATCAATATTTTTATTCTTTCCAGAAACAAAAGGCAAAACATTAGAAGAAATGGACAGCATATTTGGCAACGTAAAATCTACACTACCAACACATATCGACTCAAGGCGAGCTGTTGAAAGTGGAATTACTGATGGTGGGACATCACCATCAAATGTTAAGCAGGAACCAAGCGAGATGAGAAAAATTGAACAAGCTACAGACACTGAGACTAAGGAGAGTAAACCCTCCGTTGGCATTACTTTCCCTGGATAATTTTTGTAATGAAATTATTGAATGAATAGTGATATTGTGTGTTAAAATGAGTCATAGTCTTATTCATCATTATCTTGCCCTTACTTAGTTATTTATTTGCTATTAAGCAAAAGACTTTGATTATATAAGAGAGTAGTAACTTTCTTTTTATGCATCTATTATGCATATAATATAATATACTGTATAAATAATTATTAAACTTTCATATTTACCGTTTCTTGAGATTTATTGCAATAATTATCATTATAAAATTTAATTGTCATGAAGTTAAATCAAAATTTTTATATTATCTAAAAAAAAATTGATATTCTTAATCAATTTTATTAAACAGGAGGAAACGTTGATACGTCACAAAATCGTTACACAATTGATAAAAAATTTTTTTATCTCTTAAACCGTTTCTCCTACAAATTTGCTCTGAAATTTTTTTAAAAATTTTATTTTTAAAATAAAATTTTAAATTTTAATTTTAGCTATATATTTTCTAAGTAAAATATTTAATTTTAGACCTAATTTATTAATTTTATTAAGAAAATTTTT